ATTTGTTAATATTTATTTCACCATTAATAATATCATATGACATTAAATAAGTAAATATATATTTAATTATTAAATTCATGTTAATAAGTCCTCAACTAATACTCGGAAGTCTCAAAAAAAATATTTGAAATTGTTAAAAGTTTAAAATTTTAAATCATAAATATAAATTTTAAGAATAAGATATAACTATCTATTATTAAATGTTAAATAAAGAAAGAGAGAAAAATAGAAAAAAGAAGCTAATACCCATTCATATTGTCGGCAGACCTTAATGAATTGTTCTCTAAAATCCAAACACCATCGCCGTCCATTCCATAAGACGTGATTAGCCATAGACGACCGACCTCACCCTTGCATTGAATTTTCCCAAATTTCCGACGAGCTGCCACGTTTATGGACATAATATTAGGCACAAAATAAATGAAAGATACACAACCCTTTTTCCCTCCCAAAAATACTTTCCTTCCCTTCACCTCTTTCTCTCAATCATATCCCATAAAATCTTCGACTTCCAAAACCAAATTCTTCTTCAAAAATCCCCTCTATGATATTATAAGTTTATTAATATTCTTCCCCAAGAAACATTACACTTTTCCTCAATGATCAAAATGAAAAGTTATCACAGATTTCTCTCCCTTTTCTTAGTTTTGTGTTCTTGTTTCCTCTCTTTCTCCCATGCATTTGATTTCTACGTGGGTGGAAAACAAGGCTGGGTTTTGCACCCCTCAGAAGACTATAATCAATGGGCTGGGAGAAACAGGTTCCTCATCAATGACAATATAAGTAAGAATTAATCCAAACATTTTATCTTTTTTTTGTTATTGTTTTTTTATTATCTTCATGTTTTGATTCATTCTAGTTCTGGGTTTTTACTATTTTCTGTTCTTGATTCGGATTTTGGTAGTTTTCAAGTATAAGAAAGGATCCGACTTGGTGTTGCTGGTGAACAAAGATGATTACGACAGCTGCAAGACCAAGAATCCTATTCAGAAAATGGACAATGGGAATTCTGTGTTCAAATTGGATCGTTCTGGACCTTTCTACTTCATCAGTGGAAAAGAGGACCAGTGTAAGCAGGGGCAGAAATTGATCGTTGTTGTTCTGCACTTGAAGAGGGGAGGGTCAGCGCCGGCTGCATCTCCCAAGTTACCGCCAGGTTCTG